TTTATAGCACTAATTTACAACATTAATATAGTAATTTAACAATTAATATAATAATTTATAGCACTAAATTAATAATTAACAACTCATGTCAACACAAAATAAAAGAATATATCATGAAATCTCAAGAGCCAAAATACAAATGATAGAGTTGGATGAAAAGAAACTGACAAGAACAAATTACACACTAGTAAATATGCTATCATGGAACAAATAAGCAAGTTATCATTCCATCTCACTTGGAAAAGTAGGAGAAAAGAAAATTAAACACAACTATTTACCCTCTATTACATTGAACTAATCCAAAAATAATTCAGGCTGCCTAGCCAAACATGCAGAAAGTTTAGGCACATCCATTGAGGTACTTCTTGTATTAAAAACAAAAGAAAAAGCTATAAGCTTATATCTCCTCTTTATTACATATTTCAAACATTTATTTATTAAACATTTAGAGATTTATTCCTTGCATGATTGGTTGCTTCAATCAACTAGACTTTCTTCATCCTCCTTGCTTGGCCTCTTTATAGTTCCATATATACTTAACACTACTTTTTTCCTTTGTCCTCAAGTAAGTGATGAATGGGAAAAAGGAGAAAAAGGTGAAGTAGAGGCAATTGTGCGAGTTAAGAATGAACTTGAGTGAGACAATGAAATTGCTCCAATAGCTTAAGCTTAAGCGCTAGAATGAACAATGTAAGCTTGAAAATTTTCTTCCTATGTTGATCGAACAAGGACTAAAAAAATAGCAAGAGAAAAAGGTTAAGTAGTGCTGCGTTGGAGTGACCAATAACTTTTTTTCCTTAGTGGTGCTTCTTGCTTGCTTTGAAGAAGAGAAGTATGAGGTGTGAGTGATTGAGGGGTGTAGGTGGAGTTGTATATATTTATAATTGTAGTTTTTTCTTATTTATAGATTGATCCAAGTTGGTATATGTTTAAATTTTTTAATACTGCATCAAATGTCATGTATTAACACGTAGCACATAAAGAAATAGTATTAACAATTAATAATGAGGTAATAAATCTAGTTTTTTAAAAGTGTATGGGTTAATTTGAAGTAAAATCAAGGTAGGGACCAAATTAAATAAAAATATATAGTATAAGGATCAAATTTATATTTTAGTATATATATCTTCCTCCCATTACAGTGCATGCCTCTCATTTTTGCACACCTCTTTTCTTTTGCTAGTTTTCAATTTTATGACTTTTTTGGTAGATTATGAGAGATTTTAGAATAATTATTATTGTGTAAAATAGAAAAAAAAACATTGACTTACTCCCTGATTAAAATTTCATGGTTTTATTTTTTGTCAAGAAAACGAGAGATGAACAAATTATAATTTTAATTTGTCAAATAAAACTTAAATAATGTTATTTTTTTAATTAAAAAATTAACATAGTTAATAATTTAAAAAATTTAAAATTTATTTTATAAAAAAAAAATTTAAAACTAAAATAAAAATAAATTAAATTTAGAAACTAAATTAATAATTTATCTCAAATTCTATATCAATCTTTCATTTTTATATAAAATTTTGTAAAAGGTCAATATTTATGATTTTGATGAGAATTTTTACTATGTTACAATTGAATTAAATGTGAAATTTTATAAAAATTAACAGAAGTTAAAATATGTAATTCAAATCTTACTTCGAGTTTTTATTGTCTTAATTATTAGAAATATAATTTTTTAAATACTTTTCATAAAAATTTTGAATTTGAAAAACGGCCCAAATAATTTAGTCCAATTTCAATTTACTCTTCAAATGGACCAAGGAAAAGAAGAAAAAATAAAAAAACAAAAAAAGAAAAGAAAAAAACAGAAATAAAAAGCCTCTGTCTCCTACTACTGTCTCCAGCATCAAAACCCCATCAAAGCAAAAACCCTTCTTGGCGGCTTCTTGTGCAGAGCAGGAAATCAGAATATACAGAGAAAGATGGCACAATCTCTTGAGCTGCTGTTGATTCAATTTTTGATGCCGGATAATGACGCTCGACGACAAGCAGAGGAGCAGATAAAGAGGCTGGCTAAGGATCCGCAGGTGGTGCCGGCGCTTGTTCAGCACCTCCGTACTGCTAAGACTCCGAATGTTCGTCAGCTTGCAGCTGTCCTCCTCCGTAAGAAAATAACTGGACACTGGGCCAAGCTCTCTCCTCAGCTCAAGCATCTCGTCAAGCAGTCTCTCATTGAGAGCATCACCATGGAGCACAGGTCTTCCTTTTTCATTTTTGTATACTTTCTATTGTTTTGGATTCCATGGATTTTCACTAATGAATTCGATCGAGCTAATTATTGTGATGACGTGAAAGTGTAAATCTGTTTTACATTGGTTGATTAGTTGGCTCATTCGCTGTGTATTCTAATCTCATCTTTGGCATTTTTTATTGTTATTTTTTGATTAATTTGTAAATGATCTTGGTTCGTGGTGCGTCATTGCAGTATGCCTGTGAGGCGAGCAAGTGCCAATGTAGTGAGCGTCATCGCGAAGTATGCCGTTCCATCTGGAGAGTGGCCTGACTTGTTGCCCTTTTTATTTCAATGTAGCCAGAGTCCACAGGAAGACCACAGAGAAGTAAACTTCTTGAAAGCTTTCTTAAAAGCATTCTCGTTTTAATGTTTATCAATGTTATATCGTGTAAATGATCCTTCTTGCCAAATCTTACTAGTAATGTAAGGTTTCCTTGTTTCTATACGTTGGAAGCATTGATCTATACCATGAATTTCAAGTAATCTCAGATGTGAATCATTTTTTGACTAAGGTTTCTTCTGCATTTGTTAGAACATTGAGTTCAAGAGTTCTCTAATGTAAATGTTGTTGGTTACAAGGTTTCACGTATCAGCAATTCTGACATTCTGAGTGGATGGCAGTTGGGGCATAAATTACATTTAAACTAAAGAAAGTTTTCTTTATTTGCAAAAATTTGAATTGAGCGGTGCATGTTACAAATGCATCCAAGAGTTGGCCCACTTAGAAAAGTTACTTAAAATTCATATACAGTTTATCACTTGTCTAATAATATTATGTAGAGATGTGAATGATCTCAAATAATAATCTTATAGGAAATGGGGTCTAATATTGTACTTAAGCATACTCAGTTATCTGCAATAGTTAGAGTATAATTACGAATATATTTCGTTGCAGCTTGGTGATGTAAGGAGTAGATCCAAGTCGACTACATTGAGTGAGTGTCTTCACTTATAAGGAAAGGATCAATCCTCCACATTGGAGGCACTTTTTTCAGGATAATTATAAGACCCACAGGTTAGTAGCAGACAATAACTCGAGCCAATAGATGGACCCTTGTTCCAAAATTTGGCATCAATGGAATAGTGCATCTTTAGAAACTTTGGACTGTAGATAAGTTCCCTCTCTTTTTATTTTAAGTGACTGTAGGTAGGCTCTGTCAACAGCTTATAGTTGACTTTTGACAAAAAACACAAATCTTTTCTCCAACAAAAGGCATCTTTCACAGTAGATTTATCTTTTGAAAACATTTGATTTATTGCAGTGTCAATATGTTGCATGCCTTTGCTGTTGTTACCATTAGCATATATATCAAGAAAATCCTAGGATTAGCTCTTGACTAGGAAGTATCTCAAACACATGTACAGAAATAGTTTATCTTATTTTATCGATGGGTCTGGCTGATTACATTGTGGGAGGTAAACATTTTCTTATTACATTTATCTATATAGACCATGTTTTCATAAACTTGCATGTTATAGTACATATGTTTTTGGTATATATGCCTTTTCCTCAACCTTCAAGTGGGTGTGATGTTTGGATGTGAGACTACTGAATTCTTCTACCTTGAATACTGCTTTGTCCAGTTAGTGTTATATATGGATGCGTGTACCATGTTAAAGTACTCTTTTTTTGTTATTTAATGCTTTTCTCCTTCAACTTGTTTGGATTAGATTTCTAAAAGTCATGCAACCTCTCTGTTTATTTCCCAATAACTTTTTGTGAGTGCATGTTTGCATCGGTAGTGATATGAACAAGGTGAACTGACTTTGTTTTTCCGGCTTTTCATATAAGGTGGCATTGATCCTCTTCAGTTCCTTAACTGAAACAATTGGAAATGCATTTCAACCACACTTCGCAGACTTACAGGCTCTTCTACTCAAGTGCCTACAGGATGAGACTAGCAACCGAGTTAGAGTTGCTGCGCTTAAGTAATCTTTATTTAAAATTTTTCTTGACATCCAATGGACCTTGTCAACCCGGAAATTTCTTGTGGGTTGCTTACAAGCATTTTGTAACTTTTGTACCAGGGCAGTGGGATCTTTTCTGGAATTTACATATGATGGGAATGAAGTGGTAAGTTTTATTAAGTTATATATGTCGGCCCTGGAAATATATGTTTTAGTCTCCTGTTTTGAATTGATTATAAATTTTTAATTTATTTTAGTAGTTCTTTTTCCTAGAGGTTTAGGGATTTATTTATGGCTTAAACTTTTCCAGGTTTCCTCTTAGAGTTTCTAATTTTTGTTACTTAAGAGTAAATTAGAGTCTATACTTATCATTCCCTTTAAGAAAGTAAAAGTCAATGACAAGAACTTACTTTTTTTGAAATAAAAGTGTTAAGTAAATATATTAACAAGGTACCAAGAAGGTGCCGCCCATTTGTCAATGACAAGAACTTACAATAGTTTTTGTTTTGCAATTGCTCATGCAAAATCAAACCCTAAGTATGATGCATGAGGGATAAGAATATATGTGATGTCTAAGAAACATTATGTCTAAGAAACATTAAAGATAGGTGAATCTCTACTTTTGGTTTTATTTTGTTAGGTCATGACATCAAAGATTGGGATGATTTTGGGTGGGTTATGGACCACTTAATAGAATTGTAATGTATACCTTGTACATGGGCGGTACCCCCCCTTGGTACCTTTGTGAGTAACATTTATCGTCTGATATTTCAAAGAAAAAAAAAATGATATTTAGGTCTGGTTATCTTTTTCCTAAGTATGGGATCATACATAAGTTGAGCTTTGTCAATTGGTATTGGAGTCAATGATCCTAGTTTGGTACTAAATCCATGAAACCCCAATTGCCGGGAACATATATTGCAAAAATCACCGAACCTGGATCTAAGATGCTCACCATAACACTGGCAAGCTTGACTTTGCTGACTAGTCTAATTGTGAGTTTTGATAATCACTTATGTTGTAAATCTTCTCTTTGGCATCTAAATTGGTTAACCACCACTAGGGGTGGCAACGAGCCAAGTTTGGTATCAAATAGTTTGAGCTTGGTCTAGTCAAAACTAACCAGGCTTAGTCAAAATTGAGCTCACGTATAAATTGACTTCAGTCAAAAGCTCTTCTAACTAAGTGAGAGTTACTTGAACTTAACACTCTTTGGTTCCAAATCCCATGAGCAGCCTCACTTATCAATTATTAAATTAAATATATAATATCTTTACTGAAATTATGGTATATCTTTAATATAATACCGTTTTTACCTTAATTGTATTTTATAATTATATAGTCAACATTTTTGTTCTTTGATTATTTATTTTTATAAAATATGTTAAAAGGAGTGCCTTATTATCAAGCTTAGTTGAACTTACTCAGGCTCAATAATGTCTTTGTGTTTACCGATTTTTTCTTTAATCAAGCTCGATTTATTTTTTTTCTTTAAATGAGCTGCACTTGAGTTAGAAGCTCGACTTGAATCTTGAACCACCATGTCACATGAGTCCTTTGCTTAAGCGTTGACCTTCTAGAGAGTGGCAATTGAATTGTGGACCTCACTCTGATAGAACCTGCAATTGACTTTCTCAAAATTGGCCAATTTTGGTCGGTTCACCCTCTACAAAATTGGCCAATATTGGTGAAATATCACTTAGGTGTGATATGTTAGAAACTGTACATGAGATATCTAGGTCTAACTTGTATTCTCTAAGTAGGCAGATTATCCTAATTTTGTCCGACTTAATGTTTCTGTCTGAATACTTACTCATTTAGTGACAACTATGAGCATGTAATATAATTATTGGTATTTTCTATTTTTTCTGTACTTTGTCTTTGCATATCATGTCTTCTTGCATTAACTTTATCGTCATGTAAAAGTCTAATGGTTTCTACTTTCCCTCAAGAGAATATAATCAAACCATAGTTATGGTACTTAAGGAATCCTGTTGTGTGTGTTATATGTAAGAGACCCTAGGTGGGATATCTAGGTCTAATTGCTATTTTCTGAGTAAGTAGATAATCCCAAATTTTGTCCTAGTCATGGCTGGTGTGCAAAAGTGTAAACACAAACTCTTTTGCTTGCAACGATATGCATTTTTTATATTTTTATTATTTTCCAATTTTTATGGGCTTTGTCTTTGCAAGTTATGTCTTGTGGGCTTTCATTTATCTTCCCATCAGATTCCTCAGTTCTATCTTTTTTCACAATATTCTGCGTCAGAGATAGCATCTTGCAAAATTCACTCATTGAACCATGTTTTACAATGAAATTATCAGGATTTGGAAGGTTTTCTTATTTTTTTTTTAACACTGATGAGGATTTCTCAAGTCAGAGCTGGTCTTAGGCAATCCACATTTGGGGGATGTATGCTGTCTATTTATATGCATTGCTATATTATGTGGATTAAACATCCAATTTTAAGTTAGTGGTGATTATACTAGACTTTAAGTGTCAAGTTTATTGACACATAATTTTAATCACAAAAAATGCAGGTCAAGTTTCGGGAGTTCATTCCCAGCATTTTGAATGTATCAAGACAGTGTCTTGCCTCTGGTGAGGAGGATGTTGCTGTAATTGCCTTTGAGATATTTGATGAGCTGATTGAATCTCCTGCACCTCTTCTTGGGGATTCTGTCAAATCCATTGTCCAATTCTCTCTTGAAGTTTGCTCGAGTCAAAACTTGGAAACCAATACTCGACATCAGGTTAGAATTGAGCAACTGAATACTTGTTTATTCCCATTCTGTAGCATCTTAGTGAGTTGCTTGGAAGAAAAGCCTGGCTTATCGAGCTGGGGTACCAGCTGTAGCTTTGTTGCTTACGTCCTGTGTTTTGTTTTTCCATTTACCAGGCCATTCAGATTATTTCATGGCTGGCAAAGTATAAATCCAATTCTTTGAAAAAGCACAAGCTGGTTATCCCTATTTTGCAAGTTATGTGCCCTTTGCTTGCAGAATCTAGTGCAGATGAAGATGATGATCTTGCTCCAGATCGGGCTGCTGCTGAAGTTATTGATACAATGGCTTTGAACCTCTCAAAGCATGTATTCTCTCCTGTTTTTGAGTTTGCTTCTTTAAGCTGTCAAAATGCAAACCCCAAATATCGTGAAGCTTCTGTTACAGCTTTAGGTGTTATATCTGAAGGCTGTTCGGAGTTTATGAAAATAAAGCTGGAACCTGTTCTTCATATTATCTTAGGGGCCCTTAGGGATCCAGAGCAAATGGTTCGAGGGGCTGCATCATTTGCTTTAGGTCAATTTGCTGAACATTTGCAGCCCGAAGTTGTATCGCACTATGAGACTGTTCTTCCATACATTTTAAGTGCTCTTGAGGACGCATCTGATGAAGTGAAGGTGCATGTAGAAAAAAGAAAAAATGATGATGGTACGAAGAGTTATCTCTCAAGAGCAGTATATTTACATCATTCATTTTCTTCCTGCAGGAGAAGTCGTACTATGCTTTGGCAGCATTTTGTGAGAACATGGGAGAGGAAATATTACCTTTTGTTGGAGCTTTAATGGGGAAACTTCTAGCAGCCCTTGAAAGTAGTTCGCGTAATTTGCAGGAGACATGTATGGTATGGAGATGAATTCTGTCTACTCTAATTGGTATAATAGATGGTCACTTTTATTTTCTCTTTGATTTATTATTTATTTGTTGATATTGATGCAGTCTGCAATAGGTTCAGTTGCTGCTGCTGCAGAACAAGCTTTCATTCCATATGCTGATAGGGTTCTCGAATTAATGAAAATCTTTATGGTTCTTAACAATGATGAGGATCTTCGTGCTCGAGCAAGGGCTACTGAGCTTGTTGGAATTGTTGCCATGTCCATTGGTAGATCAAGGATGGAATCAGTTTTACCCCCTTTTGTTGAAGCTGCAATTTCTGTATGTGATGTCCTATCTTGTCTTGGGATGATGGCATAGTTTTAAGTATTAATTTTTGTTATTTTATCAGGGTTTTGGACTGGAGTTTAGTGAACTGCGGGAGTATACACACGGATTCTTCAGCAATGTAGCAGAAATTTTGGATGATGGCTTTACGCCGGTGGGAATGGTTTGGTTCAATTGAAGTTATGTTGTTTGTTTAGCCACCCATATTTACTCGGCTATGGTTTTTTGGTTTTTGTTGGGCAGTATCTATCTCATGTTGTGCCCCTCACATTTTCTTCGTGCAATCTTGATGATGGCTCTGCCGTGGACATTGATGAGTTTGATGATGAGAACATTAATGGATTTGGTGGTGTATCATCTGATGATGAAGCTCGTGATGAGCCAAGAGTTCGAAACATTAGCATAAGAACTGGAGTTTTGGATGAAAAGGCAGCTGCAACCCAAGCACTTGGCTTATTTGCTTTACATACAAAGAGTTCTTACGCTCCGTATCCTTATTTTCTTTTTGTTTCTTCAGGCTCAGTTCTTTTTTCTTAACAAACTGTCAGTTCTGGTAAAAAAAAAAAGTACCACAATTACTATTGAGAAGTGTGTTTAAGATATTATTTGTGACTTTAATTATTTCAAGCTATTTGGAGGAGACATTAAGGATTATGCTAAGGCATTCTGGCTATTTTCATGAAGATGTACGGCTTCAGGCAATTATTGCTTTGAAATGTGAGCTTCTGTTTAAGTATTTTAGAATATTCATATGTAGGAATGTATATATACATGTCTACTTACATAAGGGACAACTTAGTTTTTCTCAAGTGGTTAGGACAACTGGTATTGTTAGGACAGCTGGGTGCTCTCTCCACTAATTTTTTAGCTTTTTGTTAGCATCTTTTAACCGTTTTTTGTTTTGGCCAAATGCCTATATATTTGGCACATTTGTACCTATGTAATATTGAAGAAAATCAAAGGATTTTTCCTCGTCACACAAACTTTCTCTCTTTGTTTTCTTCATGGTATCAGAGTGGCAACTATGATCCAAAATCTTTCATCATCCAACTCAAGTAGAAATGACCATGGATGAGCAAAACTCTTCTCACATTGATCATGTCTCGGGTTCCTTCAATCCAATACCTATCAACTATTCTCACATTGACCAGACACCTTCATTTGTCATTTGACACAGACTGAATGGGAGTAATTATCTCCAATGATCTTCATCCGTTCTCATGTTCATCCGAGCGAAGAGTAGGAATGAATACCTTACGGGAGAAGCTGTTCAACTATCAGCAGATGATCCAAGTGCTCGTTCATGGAAGGGCGAAAACAATCTAGTAATGTCTTGGTTAGTCAACTCAATGATGACAGAGATTGGAGAAAATTTTTTACTGTATGAAACCGCACACGACATCTAGGTGGCCGTACGCGAGTTTTACTCCAGTCGAGACAATACCTCTGCCACCTTCGAAATCGAGACTCAGCTGCACGACCTGTGATAGGGGGGCTCACTGTAACACAGTACTACAATGCACTCTCTCGGCAATGGCAGCAGCTTGACGTCTTCGAGGAACACCCGTGGAATTGTCCCGAAGATTCGAAACTCTTTAAAACTCACATTGAACGCAAAAGAATTTTCAAATTTTTGATGGGACTCAACAAAAACTTGGATGAGGTTCGTGGTCGCGTTCTGGGTACAAAGCCGATGTCGAATCTTAGAAAAGCTTTCTCTGAAGTTCGTCGAGAAGAGAGTAGAAAGACGATCATGCTGGATGATTTTTACTCTGGCGCGAACCCGACGGACACAATTTCTGCCCTTGCTGCTCAGAGGAAGCCGTTGCTCAATGAACCTCAGCCTGGTGCCCTAAATCACGAGCATGCCTCTGCTTTCGTCGGACGTACTCCTAAAGCTGGAGGAAAGAACGGGAGACCCTGATGTGATTATTGCAAAAAGCCGGGTCATGTTAGGGATAAATGATGGAAATTACATGGCAAGCCAGCAAATAGGAAAAATTACAAAAATGACACTCAGAGCAATATGGTAATTTCAGAAGAATTATCCCCTGCAGCCAGTACTACCGAGAGCTCTCCCTTCAGTCCAACCCAA